AATGAGATGAGGGGGGTGGGAGGTGAGTTGAGCAGGCCTCACGAATTCCTTCAGTCCCAGCTACTTACCACCTCTTGCTAGTTTAGGAAGCAGGAGTGTTCTGTGAGGTTTGCCCAGCTTCCCAGAATGCGCTTCTGGGGCTCATGCCACAGTTAACCATTACGTGTTTTGTCCTTGTTTCTTTTGCCTACACCTTCATTAGGGATGCATGGGGGAGAAATGAGTTCAGGCCCAGGATATGGTACTGCTGGACCCCCCAGTCTACTCCAAAACCATACCATCATTTCTAACACCCAGCATGATGGCACCCCAATTTCAACCAAAAGACAAGGACTAAAAAGTGTGCATTGGGTTTCATAACAAGGTCACAAGTGACCATGAACAGAGCTATGGCATAGTGGGAAGCACCAGGCAGTAGTGAGAAGAGAAAAGAGTGGGAGGTGAGAAATAGAGAAGTGTTTGTAGCCAACCCTTCCAAGGAGCAGGAGGAGGGGGGGGTAGCCGTGGAGTGCACGGGGGTCAAGGCCAAGATGGGGAGGCAGTGGATGGGAATTGCTGGCAAAGAGGAAGCACAGAGAGGGCTAGAGTCAGGTCCTGGAAGGGGGTGGGGAGTAAGTTGGAAACACCCAGAGCACAAGGAAGGGGTTAGCTTTGGTTAGAGGGTCACCCTTCCATTCTAACAGTAGGACAAGAAAAGTTCTCTTGTATGGGCAAGTTTATAATAATTTGGCGAAGAAAGTTGCAGGAGTTGCTGTCTGATGGCTGTTTTCTCGGTGACACTGGGGGTGCTTTCCTGGGCTGAGTCAGAGGTTTAAATGATGGGGTTTGAAAGGACTCTTGGACGGTGTGCCAGGCCAGCAGTCCGTGGCACGAGAGGCACAGGGAAGGGTAGCCGCTGGACTGATCCCAGCTTGGGGTTTTGCCACGAGGGTGCAGAGGAAGGGCAGGAGGGCACGGAGGTTCGTGATGATGGTGAGAACGATGGAGTTGGGCACGAGAGGGCTGCTGGGGAAGGTTGAGGGCTCATGGGTGGGGGGGCTCAGGGAGCAGGGAGAGAGACCCGGAGCAGAGCAAGAGAGCTAGGAGCTTCAGCCAGGCCATGGGATGGGTCTGGGCAGAAGAGAGCGGGCACAGCCCTGGAGGTGCCCTGGTGTGCGTGCGTGCGCGTGGGCTGAGGGCTAGTCGCAGCCGCGTCTTCCCGTGCGGCCTGGTTTCCTCCGCGCGCTGCGCGCGTTGGCCTCTCTCCTCCTGAGGGTGTACGTGGGGAGCTGCCGGGGGAGGATAGGACACAGAACGGAAGGAGCTCGAAGGCCTTGTCAGGTAACAGGGCACGCCAGGCCAGCGCAGCCACCCCCTGGCAACACTGGGGAATGTGGGTGCAGCGTGGAAGACGGTCTCCGGACGCCAGCAGTCTCAAGGAGGACGCGAGCTTGAGGCAGGGGCTCTGCCGGCGGGCACCCGAGTGTGTGTTCCCGAGCTGGGCCGTAGGCGCGGGAGGGGCGCGGCTGGGCTGCTCCCAGCTCGGGGTGTTCAGCGCCCGAGGCCCTGGTCTTCTCAGGTCTGCCGGTCCCAGCCACGTCTTCGCCGACACGAGTTCCCAGCCCCTGGCAGACACCACCACAACGCAGCAAATGGCAGACTCCGTCCGGGGCTGCTGACATCTGGCTTCTCAATTCATTTATCTACTTGACGATGGTGGATTATTAAAAACAAAAACAAGGAAAATCTTCCCAGATCCCTGGCTAAGCCCGCATCTCTTACTGTCCCCCCACCCCTCATGGGTTGATAGTCCCCCATGGGGAAAGCTGCCAACAGGGATTTTTTTTTTTTGAAGATTTTATTTGAGAGAGAGAGAGAGAGATGAGCATGAGCAGGGGCAGGGGCAGAGGCAGAAGCGGGCTCCCCGCTGAGCACGGAGCCCCACTTGGGGCTCAGTCTCAGGACCCCGGGATCATGACCTGAGCTGAAGGCAGATGCTTAACCGACTGAGCCACCCAGGCGCCCTCAGATTAGTATTTTTCAAGGTGTTCAAAGAGCCTTAGCTCTGAAGATGTTTCAAGGACAAATGTTGAAAATAGCTTTGGAAAATCCTGCATTAACATCCCCCTCTCTTGGAGATTCACAAATTGCATTCACATGCAAAAAGATCTGAAAAGTTTCATAGGAGAAAAAACCTTTAAATTTGTTTTAACTTTTCAACCCCAGAATCCAGCCCCCCCCCCGCACAGTTCTCCTCCCATCATTACTCAGAACCAATATATATATATATATATTTTTAAAGATTTATTTGACAGACAGCGGGAGAGGGAACACAAGCAGGGGGAGTGGGAGAGGGAGAAGCAGGCCTCCCGCCGGGCAGGGAGCCTGATGTGGGGCTCGATCCCAGGACCCTGGGACCATGACCTGAGCCGAAGGCAGACGCTTAACGACTGAGCCACCCAGGCGCCCTCAGAACCAATATTCTATGCCTTTCACTTTGACATACGCTAGCTAGTTCAGGAAACCACCTGCAGTAGACTCTTTCTATGGACCCCAGCACAATCAACTAGTTTGCTTGTTGAGGATTACATGTACCCTTGGTTATCTAGCCGGTATGTCCAAAATTGGTGTCATTTAAATAGCTCGCTCTTGAGGAAGACTTTAAGCCCGTTAAAGAGTAAGAATAATCCATGGCATGAATAGAAGCATTTTACATGTGAGAAAACCCACAGTCCAAGAGTCAAGTTAACTCACACCCCCAGAGTGTACTGGACATGCTGCAGACAAGCATTCTCGGGGCCAGACGCAGCCTTATAAGGTGGCCTGACATTTTCTCATGGCCCAGGCCACCCTCCAAAAATATCCAGAGACAGAAGAAGAGTGGGAACTGACTCCCCGAACGTTTCAAAGATTAACAAGCAGGCTCTCCATTAAACAGGAGCGCTAACACCTGCTTTCCGACCAGCTCCAAAAGCCCTGCAGGGTCCATGCTGGGGAGGGTTCTGCGTTGGGGAGAGAACAAATAGATGGAGCTTTCAAAACACACATCCAAGCTGGCTTTTTTTGCTCTAAAAAAAGTGTTATATCCTGGACCCCTTCAGAATATGCTTTAAGATCTGACTGCCTTTGCTTTATATGGACAATAGAGACCCGTGCCTATTTTTCACTCCTGTGCCTTTCAGCTCCTTCGGTGTCGTGGGGATGAAGCCCGGTTCCAAACGCCTCACGCTTCCAAGGCCCCGATCGCTTGTGAGGCGCTGCCTCCCAGCGGGGGAGCCCAGCTACAGCAACGCAGAAGTGGAGTTTGGCCTTCAACCAAGTGCGGTATCTGGAAATGCACCCGGACTGCGTCCACGAAGGCCGAAGATAGATGTGAAAGTGCTGCCGTGCTAACAAGTCTATGTTCTGGAACTAGTGAGCAGAAAACACAACTTCCAAACATAAAGAGATTTATGAAATGGGTACTAGGTGCGAATATACACAGCCTTTCTCATATTTTATTTTTGCTCTTTGAATGGGACTTTTTAGGGTGAACTGCCTTTTCTGGGAAAAAAAAAAAAAGATTTTTGGTAATGAGATCTGCCCCAGTAACACTAAGGAGTAGCTTTCTAAATTTGAAAGCAAAAAAGATTAAATAGTCTCTCACAATTAAAAGGAAGTGTTGGTCAAAGACCCGTGCAGCTCTCTCTTGTAACTCTGGTTCTCAGTTGCAGGCAGGGGAATGTTAATAGGTATGGCTATTTTTGGTAAGAGTTGCTTAGAACAGCTTCTTCACCACTAAACTGTATGACAACGAGCCAGTCCATTTGTAAGGTTGGGATTTTTTTTTTTTTTAAATAATATGAGGAATTGCAAAGCTAGCCTTCATTCTTGTTAAAGGGAACAGAACAACACAGCAGTATTTTTGGAACACTGTGTAACAGTAGGTCTCTTAATTATACCAATGGTAATTCCTCAGGCTAGAGCTTATTATGTTAACACAGTACACGTAATTGCCACAAAATATGACAATGACAAATTAGAAAGCCCTGGTTTCCCATTACCACCCTAAGATTGTAAAGGTTTTATTTTCTGGGTAGCCTCTACTATGAACTCTACCATCTGTTCCTCAGCTTTAGTTGAAATGATTCTTTTCGTATATGAAATGCCTATCTCTGGAAGAGACTAGATTGCATACACGAGGAGTGCTTCTACAACCACCGCGCTGGTAACGTCTGAGCCTGTGATCGGACCGCAGGTAGGAAGAAAATGTTCCCTTTGGAACAAGGACCACAGTCTTGGACAACGGTGATGGTTAACTCTGAGAAAGACTTGGCCAACCCGGCAGTGGGCATGTTAACCGCTGGAGGCACATGAGATCACTCAGCGACCACCCACTAGACAATGCCCATCCCATGGACACATCGGTGCTTTCATTTTGAGGTGAAGAGGTCTGAGGTCTAGAATTAGCAGACGGAAGTGGCCAAGCGGGGTGTATCCTGCCCGTGTCCCTCCCACCACCGCCTACTGTGAACTTGAGAGCGGGTAAAGCGGTTCCTAGGATTGCTCTGTATTTGGAGGCATTTTCAGGAGGTACTTGACCACATCTTGTTTTAATATAAGATGAACATTGCCAGGCAACAACAGTTCCCCTCTTATGTTAGAAAAGTTAGATTAAAAAAACATTGTAAAAAAACACCAAAACAAAACCCCAAACATTGTAAGACAAGGATCCTCAATCGTTTACTGACTTTCTTGGATTTCCTGGTGGCTTATATGAGTAATCCCTCTTGTCCCTCTGTGGCCAGGCTGAGAGGGGCTTGGTAAGCTTGAAGACTGACTGGCAGGAAGAACGACTTTTTGGAAACCTCTTAATATAATCTGTCTATTTCTCCTGTGTAAGTGCATTACGAATAGCAGAAATAGATTTTAAACCTATGAAAGAAAGAACTGGAATCCATGACAAAACTGAAACTCCTCCATATTCCTATAACACCACGTTCAGGCCAACTTAATGTGAAAAATCACTAGACTCACTGGTATTTCAAATCCAGGCAGAGCACACACCAGTTTATTTTGAAATGCAACACAGATCAGTATTTTATGAATACAACTTATTACTACATTAACATTATCAGGTAAAAACAGCTTCAAATGCATGCATAGAAAGTTAGGCATAGCCTTTGAACTCCTTATTTCTAAATATACAAAAAATACATTTAAATTATATAATTTTAGTGAATCAAAGACTTATAAAATTACAATTTTGGTTTTCACAACATAGAAAAAATACAAAAATGGACTATATATATGGTTGTATAATTTTTTACCCAAATTTCAAAGGAGCAGTATGTACTGATACTGATGTTTTATAATGTTTTATCTAGAAACTCCGAACTGAAAGTAATTTGCAGGTTGTACCACATCAGTGCCGATCTTTTGTTATAAATGAATAATCCAAACAAACCAGTAGAGATGAGGACACCATCTTCATATGCCTCTTTACCTCTAGTTCTTCTAAACCCTTTCTGTGGGAAGTTCACTTCAGAGGAACGGATTTTATCTGGAAGGACACTGCTTTATTCCATGACTAACTCTCCCTGGTGCCTTTGATAATGATATGTGTTAAATGAGTGATCCCAACCTGAGCAAACAGAACACAGCAAGATGCAGATTAGCAGCTTGTGTCTACAAAGCACTACTGCGTACCTCAAAGAATTCTCTGCTGGAAGGTGGTCCCGAAGGGGGGAATCTGAAACACCCAACCAGGCGGGCGGCGGGGCAGATGATGCCTTTGACTATGTCCTAAAATGAAAATGGGAAGTCTGACAAAATACCCACCAAACACCGCCTTCCTCATTCACACTTTATAAGATGTGACAGTTGGTGGGGTTAGATGTTCTCCAATTCATAGAACACCATCACTTCAAAGGAGAAATTAATTCGTGTCAGAGATAAAGCAACCAGTTACCGAGAGAGGTGAATGAAGGACATGGCCGAGTGCATGCCTTAGTTATCTGCCACGAGCATCTTAAATGTCGATGGACAAAAATACACAGTGGGGTGGAGACCCTTTTTGAGGAGGGAGTTGCTTGCTGTGTTCTTGCTGCCAAAGCTCAATTTGATGCAACACCACTGTTTGCGACAGACTATTTTTCATAAATAGTGACAAATTATAACAGAGAGACCTGAATAAAACCCCCAATCCAGCGATCCTGGAAAACCTATATTTTTCACCCTATCTTCTATAACTATTCCAGAAACGACTGAAAAAAATCTTACCCAAACTAAGTAATTAAGACTAATATAACTCAAATTGTTTCTATTTTACAGCAGAAATACATTTGGAAAAAGAAAAAAACCATGAAAAATAATCTTTCCTCTATATTTAGTTTATGAAGTACAAGAACAGATTCTAGTCTCAACATGCCCAAGTTAAGACTGCTGACTTAAAGAAGCAGAATTTTAATGTTCAATTCAAAAACAATTTTATTACACATCTGCCTGCATTAAATTTTAGGCTCCATACTTTCTTTTTTTTTTTTTTAGGCTCCATACTTTCTTCTCATTTTCATCTTCATTATCAGGCTTCTATGAAAATAATTTAAAAAATGAGTTTTCCATTATGACACTCTTCTGATATTAGCAATTATATTTTAAATAACTACTCAGTAAGCTAGTAACTAGGCCTTTAAAATTTTAAAGATCAACGATTTAAAAAGAAAAAGGGGAGAAAAGAATCCACAAAGAACATTCTGTGTTTAAAATTTAATGCACATCTGAACTTGGGCTTTACATTTTCATCAACCCTTTCTTCAAGAGTCTTAAATGCACAGTTCAGCAATTAAATGGTATGAAAACATGACGGCAATTAGACACGGTCCACATGACCGAAGTATTTCTAGGCTGCTCCCACACACGGGAGAGGGAACTGTTTTTAGCTCATGTCTGCCCGACTGGAGCACTTCACCACCTCTGGACTTACAGCGTGGTGGGGATTACACAGGACCGTAATTAGGAAAAGGATCCTAACTGAAGAGTTGAAGGAAATTTAAAAATAAAGTAATAAGGGTATAGAAACCTATTCCTAAATGTTCTTCAGGTCTACATTTCTAGAGTAACACCTTCCATGTGCTTTCACAATTACAGATTCTCTAACCCTTACGTGACTAGCCTGGCTTTGGGTCCAAAAGTGAGAATAGCTATGGGTAAATACATTACTCAGAGGTGTTCTGAGAATGACACGGTGAAAGGTACTTGTCATTTACTGGCGATTGAGCTTTCCCTTTCTGAGAACTGTCACTGTGTTAAAATATGATTGAGGCTGAGCCCTAGATAAGATAGGTTCTCTACGATGTACACATACTTACTAAATCCAAGCACGTTTCTTAGCGGCAGGCTGTAATGACTCCACTGAAAACAAACAAAAGGGTTCTAGCTGTTTTCAGATTACAGGTACTACCCCAAAGCTTCACGGACATATACATGGTATAATTCATTCATTAGACAGGGGGAGACAGATCTCAGCCATAACTTCATAACATTCCAGAGAACAAAGTTTGCCACTTCAAAAATACAGTTTCCAGCATGCAGTCAAGCACTTTGAAAAGGGAATGCAAAACACTGCAGACTGGAACAGAACTCTTACTGCAAGCTGGGCATTCAGCTGGTACAACTTCCTTACTCAGACTGTAACTCTCAAGTATTTAGTATTACAGATCTTTACTTATCAGATACATGAAGGAAACAGAAGGATATAAAACACCAAATCTCTTTCCAGCGCCATCATAGATACTGGGAACTTCTGGTTGAAAGAGCATGCTGAAATGGACCAGCCAGGATGTTTTATGTACTAGTTTTTGTTGTTGTTGTTTGTTGTTGCTGTTGTTTTAAATAAAATCCCAGGCCTGTGTGACACTGGATTTGGGTTTTTGTTTTATTTTTTTAATATTTTAAAAATAGTTCTTACTTACTTTCTATGAAACGTATTGGGAACTCAAAAAGTCTGCAGCATTTTTTGTCATTGAAAAGTTTTTTGGGGGTGCGCAGGAAGCAGGAGCTAGTCAAATTTCTTGTGTTCTTCAGTATGAGAAAGGACCTTTCTTCTCTGGTGTATCATGTGGAAGTATAACTGGGGAAAAACTGAAAGAAAAGAAAGAACTGGTTAAGGAGCTAGATCATTTAAAACTGTATGTTCTCTTTGACTCACTTTCTCATCCAGCAACCAAGGAAGGGAACACGGTGGGCTTGGGTAAGGGGAGGAAAAATGCACAGGGACTTACTTTTTCCTGCTTTAGCTGAAGGGGAAGGGTGGTCCAGACTGGAGTGACATATAGTACCATCACTATCATCACCCATCGAGATGCCACAAAGCCGCCAAATAACACTCTACCCTCCCTCGTAGTATCTTCACATTTATTCTCTGATGTTACCAGTAGGTGAATTCTAGTGATGGACTTACTATTCCTGTTTACAGAGGAGGAGTCAAGCCCCAGGGAGGGTAGGTGACTTGCCTGGGATTTCACAGCAAATTCCTGACAATCAGGACCAGGCTCCGGGCTCCTGACACTCAATCTAGTCCCTTCTGTCACCTGAGGGGATCTCCCAAAAGCATTTCCTGAGAAAGGTTGTTCTTTGAAGGGGAAGACTGAGGAGGGGGAAGAGGGCCATGACATTTTATCTGAACATGAAGAAGCCAAGTTTGGCTGTAGAAAGTCCTTATGAAAAGTAAGCTAATATCTTAGGCACTAGAGATTCTGTTCTTGGTCATTTTTTTTTTCCCCCTTAAAGATTTATTTATTTTAGAGAAAGAGCAAGTGTGGGTGCAAGCAAGCGGGGGGAGGGGGGAGAGGGAGAGAGAATCTGAGGCAGATTCTGCTCAGCACGGAGCCTGAGTGCCGCTCCATCTCACAATCCTGAGATCATGATCTGAGCTGCACCGCTTAACTGAATGAGCCACCTGGGCGCCCTTATTCGTGGTCATTTCATAGGTTACTTTACAAAGTACTGGTTCTAAAGAAACTGGGTGGTACCACCTCCCTGGGAGTATTTGGAAGCTGGGGGGAGGGGGGTAGATTTGCAGGAGGGAGGTTACTGGCATTCAGCACACGAAGCAGGAATGCCAAAATCTGCAATGTGTGATGGTCCCCCACAACTAAGAATGTCCTACCCCAAATGCCTAAAGGATTCCTGCTGGGAAAAGCCAGCTGAAGCTACTTGCCTTCACCAAGCTACTGTGAACTGGGGGTTCAACAACTACGTAAGAACCCCAGTGAGTTGGTTTAAATGTACACTATCCTTCCTTCCTTCCTTTCCCTTCTCAACGGCTCCAATCTCCATTTTGTGGAAAGTAACCTGTATTTCTGGGGAGGTAATTTCTACGATTCCCCTGACAGTTTCTTTTTCTTTCTTTTTTTTTTTTAAACCCACAAACCCACGACCCTGAGGATCAAGACCTGAGCCTAAATCTAGAGTTGGACGCCTAACTGACTGAGCCACCCAGGCACCCCAACAGTCTCTTCCTTTTTAAATGGGTTCCAAGTTGGCCAAATTTCAAATGATCCTCCCAAAGTACTCCAAGACATCAGTGGGTATGTGCACACAGATCTGATAAACTTCAGAGGAGGCTCCGACGCTGAACAGGGCTGCCATCCAGTCCACTCGCTATTTGTAGGCAGGAAGTTATTCAGAGAAAAGACCCAGCTTGTGCATAGAATTCAACAGGGGAGAGAACTATTCTGGTATGAAAGCCAGAAAATTTGACAAGCTCTATAATCTAAAAACTGGAAGTAAAGATATAATTAAACCATAAGGAATGCTAATTGCAATCATTTAAAAATGTGGGGCCAGTCATATTTCTATAGATATGCTTTACTAAAGGGAAAATTTGTGGCAAAGTACACTAAGGACTTTTCCACCGGTTGCAGGGGTGGCTAAAGCTTCCCTGCTAGTTCAGAGGGTCTGAGGAAGGATGACCTAGAAACCATTCGTCAGGCCCTTGGTGGCAGTTAAAGTAAGATGGTGGAGTATCCTCATCCCCACAGGCAAGGGCCTGCTGGCTACCAGGAGGGCCAGAGGTCAGAAATGGAGGGCAGATATAGCTCTTTCAATTCTTTGCAACTTCAGAGGTTTCTCAGCGCCCAAGCAAAGGAATGTGTGTGGGTGAGGCCAGGAGAATGGGGGCACTTGGGCCGGAGGTTCTCTACAGTTCTAGTAATGGCTTCTTGGTGACCAGAACTTGGGTGACACTGTCTCCATCTGAATTTCCCACATGTTTAGACTGGCCCAACTGTAACAGCTGAAACAATTCCAGATGCATGGCTACTCTTTTTAACCATAGACGACAATGAAGAAAAACCCCAAGACAATCTCAGCCTGACAATAGGCTATTCTGAATTCGAGCTTCTGCTCTCCCAGTCCAGGACACATGGAATGGAGATGGTCACTGTGCATGCGAATGTTGCAGTGGGGGTAGGGGTTCCTCTAGGCAGAGGAAAACTTGGAGGCTGAGAGCAAATGGAAATGCTCTGCCTGGGCCAAGTTTCTTCTTGGTCTCTCTAAAAATCTGAGGTGTGGTTATGGTTACTGACAACCTGGACAGCGCCCAGCTTCTCAGTATCATCATCCAACACCAGTGTTTCTCATTTCTCAGCCTTTTTTTTTTTTTTTTAAATCCCCACTCCTATTGGGTGGTAAAAGCCAACTTTTACCAATTTGGGGGGCAGGAAATGTAGACAGGACTTAGATGTCTACCGAGTTTGGAGAGACTGTACATACTGCAGCTGCAGCAAAGTGGGAAAGGAGCACCTTGCAAGGGATTCCACAGCACCCCAATATGAGAAAACTCCAGGGGCCGAGGCTCACGGGCCACAATTTGAGCACATGTACAACAATGAAAAGGTGTTACTTTGTATAATACATGTGTATCACCAACTTCCCATTAAAGAAGATTAAAAGAAACTTACATTGTAGAAAGAAGACCAAATTTGGTAAAGAAGACTGGATGTCAACAGCAACCCTCTTAACTGCATTTTCTTCTTATAAATACAAAGTTTTGGAAAGTTGGAAATGTGCTGCTGGCTGGAATGAACTGTACAAACTGGTCTCAATATTAACAACCTAAACAACTAAAAACATGCAGCGCAACTGGCTCAGGCCAAAGGCATAATGAGTGCCAGCAGACACAAATGATCTGTAGCAGAAGATACCGTCTGGGCCATCATCTTGAGCCTGGGTGCGGGGTCAGGGATTGGGAGAAAATCTGTTCATCTTTATTTGAAATCAACCCTTTTCCTTGGTCTATAAGAGTTAAACTACCTTAAGAAAGAAATAATAGAGACTTTCACCACCCAAGTTCTTACCAACAGGAGGCTGAGAAACAAAGAAGGGGAAGGAACCAAGGTAAAGAAAGCCAACTTGGGTTGAGAGCCCCGCCCTACTCTTTTTGTGTTTTCTCTTCTCTCTCCATCTGAAGGCCCAGAAGGAAAATCCCACAGAATGGGGTTTGTTTTCCTTCAGGAATCGTATCACTACGGAGGGCTGCTGTGCTTGACCAGGCCCCTTAACTAGATCAAGGGGTCAGGAGGCAGAGGCAAAAGACTGGGCGCTGGTTGGCCACCAGAGCACAAAAAAACGAGGAGGTACAGAGTGACTGAGGCTGTCCTGGAGAGCTGCTCCTGGAATGAGGACCCTCCTTCTTTGGCAGACTAAGATCTTAGAGCAACTCTCAGGTAGGGGTCCCAGATTTCTGTCAATGTGGCAGCATTCTGCTATTGGTTTGATTTCATCACACCCTCCCTGCTCCTTTTCCAGTTATCCAATCTGGCATCTATCTCTTATTCAAACCTTATGCTGATTTTATTTTATTAAAGATTTTATTTGAGAGGAAGAGAAGGGGGGGGAACAGAGATCAAACAGGGAGGAAGGACAGAGGGAGAGGGAGAAGCAGGCTCCCCGCTGAGCAGGAAGTCTGACTTGGGGCTCCATCCCAGGACCCCGAGATCATGATCTGAGCTGAAGTCAGACACTTAACCGACTGAGCCACCCAGGCGCCCCCTTATGCTGATTTTTAATAAATCCTGTGGTGCCCACTGGGATAATATGTGTTACTCTGGGTGTGGCAAAACTCCAAGTAGGAACTGTTGCTCTAGAGACTGGAAAATGAAACTCTAAGGGAACAAAACTAAAAAGATGAACAACTGTAAGCTAATTTTTATTAAATTTTTAGACTCTTCCCTATTTATATTTTCTTTGAAAATCAACTACCTTTTTCAATTTAAGAGAAAAGGCCTTTGGCCACCATGGTTCCAGTACCAAAGAGGAAGACCTGATAATTAATAGAGTGGAAAATGAATCATTAAGCAGAACTGCTGTCCAAGAATTTCTCCAAGATAAAGGGTCATATGAAATCTGGATGTAGTTTTTTTCTCACAATGCATGAAATACAATTTTCCACAGAGGGACACAAACATGTCGCTTACGACTGTTAGATGATTCATTCAGTTCATGCTGTGGGCTGGAGAAAAATCCAACCTTCCTGTCTGAATTGAACCTGAGGTTTAGGGAAGAATATGGCATCTTACAGACCAAAATAAGATTCCCAAAAGAAAATTCCCTCTGACAGACAGAAATAGCTAAATGAGAAGAAACCTTAACTTCTTATGTCCTCGGGTAAAACAAAATCCTTTTGGATACATGAAAATCAGTCATAGAATTTTAAGTGAATATCAGAATTTGAGAAAAGGACTAAACAACTCTTCCTCAGCAAACAGGACTCACTTCACAGAAGCCTCAGACATGGCCATTTCTCCTTGGTACGGAGTACGCTGATAGGCACTTTTGATTATCCGAATTTAAACCTTTAGCAGTACTATTAAAATAACTGGAAACTGTTCTGAAGAGAACATTATGTCCTGTTCAGATGATTTCAGTACTTATTTCCAAACAAGAAAATAAGAAATATAGAAAAAAATAATCTATTTTTATTTTGTTACTTGTTTCTAGTTAGCTGCTGATTCCTTAAAAATAAAATGTCTATTTTGATATAATGAAAATGCAAATATCTCTTTACAATGTTTTCCAAATACCATAACAAGCAGTTCTCCAGAGACAGAAAAAGTCAAGGTAAGGTCTTTTTTTTTTTTTTTTTTTTTAAGATTTTTTATTTATTTATTGAGAGAGAGAATGGGAGACAGAGAGCATGAGAGGGGGAGGATCAGAGGGAGAAGCAGACTCCCTGCCGAGCAAGGAGCCCGATGCAGGACTCAATCCCGGGACTCCAGGATCATGACCTGAGCCGAAGGCAGTTGCTTAACCAACTGAGCCACCCAGGCGCCCCAAGGTAAGGTCTTTAATGGCCTTTTTTGTTCTGCATTCAGTACACTCCCCCAATAGGTAGTTCACCTTTCCTGCTATTCACTGTTTCAAACCCACACACTGAGAAGGGCTGCATTTTGGCAGCTGTATTGAGAAGGGTCCATCTTTATTCAATTACTACTAGAGAAAATTCCCTCTGACAGACAGCATTCAATAAAAACCAAAGTGTTCCTAATAAATTAGATTTACATTTACTTGGATATGGTATAAAAACATCCAAAGGCATTTGACTCTAAGTATTGTAGAGCCAATTTTAAAAACATAAATATATATACGCATAACTGTTTACTTACTTGGAATGTAGGAGATCATTATCAGAATTAGGAATGCATAATAGTCAAAGGAGAAATTGTATTTGTTAGGTAGACTGATGGAGTATAGGCCAGCCTGTCGGACGAAGGGCAAAGCAGCATATATTGTGAGCAGTTCTCCCGACACTCCCATTGGGTACAGCACAATGAAAAGTGTGTACCTAAAACAAAACAAAATATTCATGAAGAGGCCTGAAGCCAGCATGAGTAGAAAGATACATTCCCACACCTCTAATCAGTACTGGTCTTTCAGGAAGCTATGATTTCTACATTTTCCTATTTACCCACTAGTTGTTTCTTTTTAAAGTAGGTTCCATGTCCAACGTGGGGCTTGAACTCATGACCCTGAGATCAAGAGTCGCATGCTCTACTGACTGAGCCAGCCAGATGCCCCCGTTTACCCACTGTTTAAATTCAGGTTTTACAGCCAGTTTTTGAAAAGGGCCTATAGCAGGTATGTCTCTGAATGTTCTAAAATAAATGTGTTTGGTTGGCCTCAAAATTTGGTCCAACTAAATAAACAACATTCAATACAACTCCCTAAAATAATGATGATGATGCCAATCATTAGTAAAGCAGGGGTGCCGAGTCACGGTTTATAGAAGGGTCCTGCCCTGTGGCAGAGGTGGGAGTGAAGCTGGGGGGTTTGCAGGGAGTTGGTGGGGGACATGTTGGAGCACGTGTCTAGGAATCCCTACAAAGCACACACCACGTCTGGTCTGTGGACTGAGAAGAACAGCACATCCAGTGTGCTTATACTGTTATTAGTCAAATGTCTATACATTATCATCATGAAAAATGAAATATATGCCAATTTTAAAAACCTTAAAAAATTCACAATAGCTTTTGGTCATTGTGTAATTTTTCAGTAATAAAAAACCCCTACAATGATTATCACACAGAAGAATCCACACCATTTTTTTCACTTCAAAAAGGAGTTCTCTATGTTTCAAAAAGAATTCAGAGAGAAGTTCATCTTATGGAACTAACTGGAAATCATTCTGAGGGGTAAGAATTGCTAAAGAAACCAGCAGCTCAAATTTTAAAGAGGCTCTGGCTGTTTGTGGCTGACAGCGAGCAAACTTCCAGGTGCAGAAATTGTGCCGAGAAATCAGTGACAAAGAGCGGAAGCTGTGTTTGCGGGGTTCCCTGCTGCCAACTTCAGCTATGCTAAAGAGGACGGTGGAATGGGAAGATTCTTCCATAGGCCGTGCACAGCCATGGACAAAACAACGATTAAGATCAGGGCTTGGCCAGCCAACTCTCCCTGTAACAGAGCAGACAGCTCCCACAATGCCTGCCCACGTTGGTGAGTTAGTAACTGCCATCTCTTCCCATTCTTCCCTTTTCCTAATAAAACTGTGTACTGGGGGAAAAAAAAAGAAAGAAAGAAAGGAGTTTGCACACTTGAAATGTTGGAAACAATTGGTTTATGTCTCTAATTTAATCATTAAACTCATAAGTTGTCTAGGAACCACCATTTTCCTTCTAGGAAATGAGGCACTTGGGCCCCAAGGACAATTTTGATCCTTTTGCTTTGTCACTCTCCCCATAATCCTCTCCAACTCAGAAAACTGCTCATAACCATCTCATGAATTAGTTCGTATAAACAGATAACTGTTAGCCTTTTCCCCAATTCATAACAAATATTACTGGTAAAACTTATCAAAGCAAAATAAAATTGCTAACAAGATAAAACTGCATGTAATGTTGGTTATTAATTAAAAATTAAGAGTCATAGCTTGTTGCCAAAATTGAGACTAGGAGAACTGGACTTGGTCCAAAAAACATAATGGCAGGAGCTCATCAGTAAAATTTGATAGGAACAAAAAAGGGATGTTACATCAAATCTCTATTGAATAATTTAAATGAAAATAATCAATCCAATAAAAATAACAAGTATATCAAACTTCAAAGTGTTTCTATTAATCAAAGTTAAGTAGCATCCCTTATCCTGATGAAATCCACAGACAGGTCTCATATCACCAATCCCAACTCTTTTGTCTCATACAATTAAAGAAAAAAAACTGAAATACAGTTGATATTGTACAACTTTATTTTTAGGAGTTTGGAGGCAATATTTAGCAATAAAGGACAAATATGGTGATGGGTCATTTCAAAAGTTAATCTTTATCCCATGTACTTTACCTGGCCCATTTGATGAGGTAAGGCAGATGGTTTAATAGACTGAAAGTATAAAAGGAGTAACGGATAATTTCTGTGATTGTCCAGGCAATAACAAACAGGAGGACACTGTCTTCACTCTGCACCTGAAGGAAAAGGAAAACAAGAGCAAAAGCAAACACATAAAACATTTTAACAAAGAAGCACTCTCAGTGCGCAGCGCCAGCCCCCTGCTCCCTGGCAGAGCCGGGCGGTTGAGCAAGTGGACACAGCCCTGGTCTGGTCATCAGTGGCCACAGGACAGGAAGAACTTGCCACGTCCAGGAACACATGCCTATGACAGCAATTGTGTAGAGCCAAGTGATTAGGGGCAAGTGAGAAGAACTCAGCTTACTGATGAGTAAGAGAGGCAGAAACAGGAATTCCATGAGCTATAGGCCACAGGAAAAAACACAGGTGAGTGAGTTTTGTCTGTGGGCCTCCTGTGGAGAATGTGGACTGATGGTAGTGGGAGCCAAGACTAGTTAGGTAAGAAGGTAGAAGGGCAAATTGGTGGAAAGCTTGGGGTCTGTCCATTAATAAGAATTTTAATTTGATTTGCATGACAACTAAGAATCTGAGGAAATTTCAAAGAAGGGGAATGTAGTGATTGAAACACAACTGAAGATGAGGCTCATTCACTGGGTAGGATGAATTCAAGTGAGGAAAGAAGAGCCAGAGACCATCTGAACGGCAGGGCCCATTTACTCTCTCCCACTGGTGACTTCTGCCCCCAGATGTAGCCTGGTTTAACTTAAAAATGATAAAAGCTTCCATGCAGACCACAGGAGGTGGCTAAAGCCAGAAGGGCTCTGGAATTTCCAACTTCCTCTGAATTACTTTCATGCTGAAAATGCAGTGAACTTTAAAACAGCCCCCACCCCCGTGGTTTTTGGGGGCCATTCTCACTAGATGCCTTGGACTGCAAATCTCACATGGAAATGTATCTCTGCCGCCCTGGCATTTGCTTTCAGTGCCCCCCCCCAGCCCCCCAGCCAGGTCTATAATGATCCTGTGCCCAGGCTTGAAGACCAGTAACAAGAAATTGCCTTGTACCCAATTCACTCACGTTTTCTTGTATCCAAAACAGGCAGTTAGAGTTGGATGTGACTAAGAAATTCCACTGAGTGAACTGAACAGATTTTGACAAGATGGATCTTCTCTGTCTCATTCCTAACGCCTAATACAACAAAAGTACAGCATTCTAACTTTAACTTTTCGTCTTTGCATTTGCAATGTGAATAGTTTTTAGCACTTATATTCTTCCTCAGAAAGTGTACATGGAGCAATCCACCTACACAATAAAATAACTAGTCATTTACATACCTATTAACTAAATTGCTCTGACAAAGAATTTCATAAATGCATAGTTACTAATCCCTAAAAATAATAAGAATTTTACATTGTCAAGAGCAAGAGTACTTTTTGTTTTCCTGGTGCTCTTATATTAGCCAAAGTGAAACCTAAACACCTCTGAAGCTTTTATGTTCCATTTTTCAGTCTGTCCCCAAATCCTTGCTTAAAACCCAGCTATACTAAAACATAATTTCAGAGCACATTTTGCTTTTTGATGTATTTTGTAATCCTCTTCATCTTAAGGAGGTATATTTTACAGCTATGGGATGAAGCCTTGCTTAAAGATCTTTGGGTTGCAATAGAAAGTTCTTCCAATATTTTGCATTCTAATCACCTTGAAAGCAGGGAACGTGTTTTATTCATCTTCTGATTCCCAAAAGCACTTTGTGGATTTCACAAGTAGGAGCTCAATAAATGTTTGTGGAGCAAACAAATTCAATTCTCATCAGGTCACCCCAAGATCAAGTTCCTGCCTTTGATACCTGATATTAGTTTCTGTGTAGTCTTAAGTGGCCTTCAGAAAGACAACAAACCCCCCTCAAACCTTGCACTTTGATCCAGCCTAATCTGACTCATTTCCCCCCATACCCAAGTTAGACTTGATCCAAAAGAACTCTAACAAGCTTAGACTCAGGCTGAATCTGTGAAAGCAGCTGCTCCCAGAGCCCAGCTGTGAAGACCATGTTATAATTTTAAAAAGACAGAATGGGGGAAATGGCCATTTTATAAAAATGATATCTTCAGATCAATAGGAAATACAACACTGTTATAAAGAAGGGACTTGGGAAGGGGCGCCTGGATGGCTCAGTCAGTTAAGCATCCAACTCTTGATCTCAGCTCAGGTCTTGATCTTAGGGTCATGAGTTCAAGCCCCACAATGGGTTCCACGCTGGGCGTGGAGCCTACTTAAATAAACAACAACAACAACAAAAACAAGGGACTTGGGTAAAAGTTGGAGATCAAGCTTATCTGATTTGCAATTATCCAATGACACAAAACAGGGGCAGAATGTAATGAGCTGAAGCTATTAAGATCAGTGAGACTCAAATGAATATATGTACACCTGTGTTTACAGGAGCATTATTCACAACAGCCTAAAGGTGGAAACAGCCTAAATGCTCATCAACAGTTGAATCCATCAACAAAATGTGGTATATACATGCAATGGAATATCAGTCTTAAAAAGGGAATTCTGACACATGCTACAACATGGATGAATGTTGAATACAATTTGCTAAGTGAAATAAACCTGTCACAAAAGGACAAATACTATACAATCTCACTCATATGGTACCCATAGTAGTCAAATTCAGGGAGACAGAAAGTAGAAGCAGAAGGTTGCCAAGGGCTAGGGGTGGGAGGAAATAGGGAATAATGTCTAATGGGTATAGAGTTTTGGTTTGGGAAGATGAAAAATGTTCTGGAGACAGATGGTGGTGATGATTATACAACCACGGGAATGTACTTACTGCACCCAAACCATACACTTAAAGATGGTTAAAATGGTAAATTTTGTTATCTGTTTTACCACCACAACAAAAAAAATCCAGTAAGAGAAAATTTAACAAGGTTAACTAAATTCTACATGCTTCAGCAACAACAAAAGGACTCCAGTACAGAATGGGGAAGACCCAGCTCATGAATCCAAGAGATGAGTTTTTGGTGGACTACAAGCTTCAATCGTGCCAACAGGGTGCAGGTGGTTGTTCAGACAACCGACCAACCAACTGACCGACTAACCAAGCAACCAACCAGTATTTGGCCACATTAACAGTCTCATCCCAATGATTCCATTCCAAAGGATTAGATCCCACCCAGGGATCGAAGTAGGTTATAAGAACCCCTGAACTAGCAAGCTTACTTTGGAAAAGGAGATGGTTAACTACTTCAAAATATGTAAATGAATGTTGTGTGCAAGAGGCAAACAGACACAAGACTAATGGCAGACTTAACAGGAGTAAAATACCTGGTTTGAAACAAGAACTGTGTAACAAATCAGATGGCTAATAAAACAGGTCACCGCATGAAGTTGTGTGCTCCCAGACCCCGGACACAGCCAAACTGAGACTGCTCAGGAGAAAGCGCTATGAAGGGTGGAAGGCTGCCCTGGACTGGCTGCCGAGGGCTTCCAGCTGCTGTTCTTTGGAGAGGCGTGTGCATAAAACCTGTACATGGGAAAGGCATGAAACTCTGGCTAATACGAACTTCCTTGCCGAAGTGGAAATTTTTTTAGTTGGAAAAAAAACGGGTAGAGACTTTAAATAGTACTTCTTAAAAATAATTTTCCTTTATCAAAGAAGGTGAGAGAAGAGAGAATAACTTTAAGACCTCCTTTCGTTATTGCCTGCTGAGGGTATACCACAGGCTTAGTTCCCTGGCTCTTTACTCCCTGACCGTAAGGTCTTCAGGGCTCCTCTCAGTTGGCTTTCTCGGCCCCTGACACAGGTCTGCACACAAGGCATGTGCGGAGTCTGTGCCCCTTAACTTGAACGACACCTTCTATTTTCTTTTTTTTTTTAAGATTTTTAAAAAAAATTTATTTATTTGACAGAGAGATAGCACAAGTAGGCAGAGCGGCAGGCAGAGGGAAAGGGAGAAGCAGGCTTCCCGCTGAGCAGGGAGCCCGATGCGGGGCTCGATCCCAGGACCCTGGGATCATGACCTGAGCCGAAGGTAGCCGCTTAACCGACTGAGCCACCCAGGCGCCCTTTTTTTTTTTTTGCAAGCAGGAGTCGGGAACATTTTTCTAACAAGTGGGGAGCCTCCTTTCTATCAAGGGCCAGTGACTCAGAGAAAAAGGACCAGTGAGGCTTTAAAAAAAAAAGAAAGAAAAACCAGCCAGTTTAGCTTTGGAGGGGTTTTTGGAGGGGCTAAAGCCTAGGATTATAAAAAGCTCAACCCAGGGGGGCCCGGGTGGCTCAGTCGGTTAAGTGTTTGGCTCAGGTCATGATCTCAAGGTCCTGGGATTGAGCCCACATGGGGCTCTGTGCTCCAGCTCCCTGCTCGGCAGGCAGCAGGGAGCCTGTTTCTCCCTCTCCCTTTGCCCTTCCCCCGCTCATGGGCGAGTGCTCGCTCTCTCTCAAATGGATAAATAAAATCTTAAAAAAAAAGTTCAACCCAGCTACTTTTTGAATTAGGAACTAGAAACACAGAATTTTATTATCAAGAATAAGAGGTTTAATATGCCCGCGCAAAGATGTGCCGGCAAACGATCACACATTACTCAGAATAGCTGGAAAGTAAAAACCACCCAAACGTCCAGCAACTGGTAAATGGATAAACAAAATGTGCCATAATCCATACAATGGAATACTATTTGGCCACACAAAGAAATACTGATACCTGCTACAACATAGATGAACTTCAAAAACATGATGCTGACTGAAAGATGCCAACTGCAAAAGATTTCATTTATATGAAACACCCAGAAAAGGCAAATCTAGAGACAGAAAGTAGATTATTGGTTGCCAGGGGCTGGGAGTGGGAATGAACTTTTATTTTTTATTAAAAGATTTTATTTATTTATTTGACAGAGAGAGACACAGCGAGAGAGGGAACACAAGCAGGGGGAGTGAGAGAGGGAGAAGCAGGCTTCCCGCCAAGCAGGGAGCCCAATGCGGGGCTCGATCCCAGGACCCTGGGATCATGACCTGAGCCGAAAGCAGATGCTTAACGACTGAGCCACCCAGGCGCCCCAGGAATGAACTTTTAAAAGGCACGAGGATCACAGTGAGGTGACGGAAATGTTCTAAAACTGGATTATGGTTACGGTTACACGATTTGGTAAATTTACTAAAAAGCATTGAATTGTACACCTAAAATGGTGAATTTGATGGTATGTAAATTATACCTCCATAAAGTTGTTTTTTTAAAAAGAATATGTTTATTTAAAATTTTTAAAGTAATCTCTATGCCCAACAGGGGCTTGAAGTCATGACCTCATGACCCCGAGGATCGAGTCGCACACTCTCTCAACGGAGCCAGCCAGACCCCTCGGTGTTTACTTTAAATTATTGCCTTTTAAGAGAAAAGGGGGGCATTTGGGGCAAAAGGGGGGAGGGAGGAGGGAGATAAAGGAGGATCATCAAGGTTTACAAAAGAAAAGAGGGGGACAAAGGGTTGGTTGCCAAAACTGTCCTGAAGCCATGTTTCAAAGCTGCATCTTCACAATCATGGCCCCAACCAGGGAGTGGGCGTGGGGCAGCTCTGCCGTCAGGAAACCTTCCTCTGCCCGATGCAGTCAGTGAGCTGCGTACTGGACCCTCTACGCTACAGAAGGCAGGTTTCCGTCCCCAGCTCTATAGTGAGGGACGCAGCGCTGGGTGTGGGCGGCTTGTGTAATTTAGCCAAGGGAGTTTACACAGAAATTCAAGCTGGAGAAACAAATGGGTGCAAGAGAAAAACCTTTACACACAAATAGCATCATATGTTTGACTTTAAAAGGCTCAGGGAGTATCAGTACATGAAAAGCTGTCATTTTTATTACATTCAAAGAAAAACAGATGGTGCCACAAAGAAAATCACTATTGTAGAAGCCCTATTCTTCTGAGCATCTTGGAACCCGATGCTTACCACTCTGGTTATTTCAAAGAAATACCCTTATCATGCTTTATGGTAAGTGTTCTTTCCTCTTCTTAATATCCCCTTCATTTGTGAAGAGAGGAGATTTTGGTAAAATTTAAGAGGTGAGGAGTAGAGTCTGTTCTTGGCAGAACTCTGAAGAGTATGTTTGTCTTAAGTCTGCTCAGGCTGCCATAATAAAATACCACAGACTGGCGGCTTAAACAACAGAAATGTGTTTTCTCACAGTTCTAGAGGCTGGAA